TGTTCCTCCCTATTTACATATATGTCACAGTAATAAAAAAAACCGAACCAAAGTTTACTGTTGTGCGATAAAGATGTCAACCATATACTCCTCGTGAGATCCGTTTTATTGATAGGGGTTAGTATTTCAAAACCAAATTTGTAGAAATTCTTACGTGTTGCATTTGTAATGGAAAGAAATTTAGTGAGTTATATGTAAGACATCGCATGAAAGAAGAATTGGTCCCGCCAATGTGAGTCTCGCCTCAGAAATCGATTATTTCGTGTATGTACGTTTGACTAGGTTTAATGCACATCGATAATAAGAGCGTACTAACAATGACAATCACCATACACAAGTAGCAGTCAGCGCTATATGACATCATTCTCAGCGTACAATTTAACAGGTATTGTAAAACCTTGTATAAGATTATATTATCACAAATCAGAGACTTGACGCCAAGTTTGGTGGTTATTCTATAATCACGACGGTGACATAATCTCATCAAACTTAATAACGTTAAAAATAAATTCTTTTATTTAATTTTTTTCATATGCGTCCCCGCAGATAACTCTGAAATCATTAGTTGGGTGCGAGGAAGTACGTTATAATACATAATGATGTAAGTGTTTCATGTTGAGATCAGTAGAAACATTGCAACAACGTTTTAATTTTACATTTATAGAATGTCTTATTCATGTCAATCCCTATGTCACAACATGTCATATACAGTATTCTCAATTAACCCTTATCCTTCAGGATGGAGAATTTCTCTAAAAAACAAGTTTTATTCTGATGATGATCTACTTGAAAAGTTAGATTTTAGAAAGTAAGTTTAAAGCGCAACAAAAATAATGTTTGTGCATTTTTTTCCTCTACAACAACAAACTACAAGCTTCGGAATCTGTGTAAAAATCGGTTTTTATTCATTATTGCTATTTTCGTGAATAACAGACATTCGTTGCCACAATTAAGTTTATCTAACTGATGGCCTTTATTCATTAAAATTAGTATAGACTGGTACTGCGGTGATAAAAGAGTAGTGTGAACATGCTATATGTCCATATTGACGTGCTCTAACCGTTTAGTAACCAAAGTATACATTACAGAAGTACCGGATATTACCTTTGAATCTCTTTTAAATTAGATTATGTCCCGGTTCCAATCAAATCAGGCTCTCATAAACGTTAATATTTTTCCCTGTTATTTCATAGACATGCTTAAAAAAAAGAATGAGAAATCAACTTCTATTTCCATCATCAATATCATTATTGAACACTGTGGGGGAAACACACACACAAACAAACAAAAAACAAAGAAAATTAGACTTCTCTTTATTAACAGTATTCGATGGTCCAGCTCTAAGCAATCGCTTATTAATTTATTGATCATATACATTTTCTGTTATTAGTGTTATAATGTTACCTTATCAATAACAGTTTGTTATAGCTCGTGTATAGTAATGACAAAGGGAGGCCTGTCATTGGCTGAAGGTTTCCATGGTTTCCATTGTGACGCTATTTATCGCCAACAGTTGGTCAAACTATTACATATCCTATAAGAAACAGAAAGGATTTTTGTAATTCCAAACTACAGACTACAAAAAATGTATTTCCTACTAATTCTTCCTTTTCCTTCTACATTTCTACCTTGGAATTCACTTGATATAACATCTAGATTTTCATCATCTTTGTAAACTTTCAAATCTTCTGTAACTTCAACCAACCAAAACCCCCGGTCTACTACGGATTTGGTGAAAGAGAGTTTAGATATAATTCATACAAAGTTACGTCATCGATGTAGTTCTTTGAAATATAGTTCATTTTGTGTAAACATTAGCTGATGAAGCAAAATTCTCATGTGGGAACCCTTGTGAAAATGCTTTCATTTTTTTTTTCTCTTTAATTGTCCCAATTATAACGACAGATACAACTGCATTTCCTTAATCTTTAATATGGAGCCCCGTTTTCCTTTTTAATTTAGGCTTACTCCTGTATGGAAATTAAACTCAATTTCATTTAATCTAGTAACAGATTTTAAATTATGATAAGTCTAAAAATAATTTTCAGTTTGCAGATCAATGGTACTTTGTCTGCCAAATGCTTCAATTGTAATTTGTATTGGGAAAGGCTTAAATGATGTTCTAATAACTTGTGTCCAATCCTGTTGCAGATGAGCATGACAATAAAATCTTAATCGAAATCTTCATGCTGGAAGTCACCACAAAAAGTGATGAGGAGTGAAAGCATCGTCGATATATATTCGATATCCGATTAAAACATACTGCTTTCACTAATGTTCGCACGGGTACAATAATTTCCGTTTTATATGAGATTTAGGAAACTCCTTAAGAATTTCTATTTTACGAACGATCCTGAGCCTTGTTCCATAAATCTTCTGTGAAATAGAAAATCACGGAAGGTCCTCTATAAAATGATTCGTGACTCAAAGCTGTTGTTGGAAAGTGTTTTTTTTTTTATTGTTCTTCCGGTATTAATCTCAATTCTTAAAATTTTCATTTGGAATGCATCTTCTGGAAATGCTTAGCATTTTGTGCATGTTTGAAGTAACTTTTGTTTGTTTGGGTTTTGCTTTTTCTTTTTCTACTATTTTAGTTTTGTTATGAGATATGCCTTTATTTTATTGTTTTACTCACATAAACTAGTGTTTCAAATCTGCCTTTTACCATTTTTATAGCAAATGTCAGTCGTAACATTTAGAAAAACGCTACTATATTTTTACTTTTTTTTAATAAAAAATCAAAAATAACAAGAGGTACAAGGGCCTTAACGGTCACCTGAGTTACAATACTTCTTGTAACATGTCATAGAAATGATTTTGTTTTAAAAGGTAAGAAAACTTTAACTACATTGTATACATAATGCAAATATTAAATTGTGTATACATTAACTGCTGTCCCATGCTTACGCTTCTTATCAAATTTGAATTAAAAAAAATTACACTCAATTTTCCCATATAAAATCTTCCATCCATGATAAGTAGGACATCTTTAATATTTCAGTCAATTTGACCCATTTTTGACCCCGCCCATCAGCCCCTGGGGGTCAGCCGAGGTCAATATGTGCATCTCATCAAACTGTCATCTTACAAGATTCTAACCAAGTTTGAACTATTTCTAAAAAAAAAAAAAAAAAGAAAACAAAATAAAAAAAAAACAAATAAATAATGCTCAATAATGTTATTTTCCTGTATAAACTATAGTAAAATTTACCCTTCCCCAAGGGGAAATGTGAGACCCTAAGGTCATGATGAAACTAACTATATGGTAAAGCACTGGCCCCACTCGCGATTCCATCAGAGCCAACACGAGTATATAAGTTGGAAAAACTTGTTTCGCAATTATTGCCAAAATAAATAAAGTTTATCATTATAAAACACTGTAAGACACTTCGAACCATGAAGAGTATTTGGTTCTACATTATCTGGGTATGGAGAAGCTAGAGATTTTTTTAAAGTCTCTGGTGACCTAAAATGCATTTAATAAAAAACTTATCATAACTCGTGCACGTTTAAAGTCCTGATACATCCCTTACTTTAATAATAAGTTCACGGTGTATGGCTAGACGATATATATAAAAACATGCTGGAAAATTGCTTTACGACGAGTTTAATGTTTTATGTATGTGTAATAATTGAAATAAAATGGCCTTGGTAACAGTATATCTGTTACAGGGACCTTCCTTCCATATGATAAATAATGGCAGTCGATCGGTATTTTGAAATGTTTGCGCTCGCGGTTTTAAATGCACTTTCCTTAACTACTGTGTAAATTATTCATACAGACGTTGTCACTTGGTGACAGATAATTCAACAACTTTCTTTTATTCGGAGAAACAATGCCGATGGTCATATTTTTCCTCGAATCATGTTAAAAGTTTTATACAGTACAACGTTAACTATTGACCATTTACTGTCGCTTAAATAAAACCTCCTATATTGTAGCAAAGGACTGCATGTTTCTGAATGTAGAAATCATCATCATCTAGTATCCTTATAGTTTGTCTAATGTCACGTTTGTCATTTCATTTCACATATCCGTAAGTGACAAAATTGAATGATCATGCCGCTTTAATAGTTTCGTCTTAGATTATTGGAGTTAGTACGGTACGCACCCGTTGTTAGAGTGGCGTCCCTTGTTTCGGTTCTCTGCGCATGTCCGACTGACTGTTTACAAATGAAAGGTGCTGCATGCCGGCGAATGATTGAATAGGAACCCCACTGGGATCTGTTCATCGACGATCAGCATGGAACAACTCCCACAGGAAGTCGATTTATACAGATGTGTTATCGGGAAACACACCCTGATTTCGCAGCTAAAAATACCTGCAGATATTGCTTTGTCTCGCGATAGCGGAGACTGTCACAGTCCCAAAGGCACACTTCATTCCAAGATTTTGCCAAGACATTTTTTAAGGCTGGGTCCCAAGGGAGGGGTCCCCTGGGGATAGATTTGTTACAAAGCAATTCAATATTCATCTCCATGACGTAGCCCAAATCCCACATGCTGTGCCTTCAGCTTTCAGAGAAATATTATCACGACTGGTTCACTGTAGTGCCGAGAGTCGAGGGAGGCCCAGGGAAGTAGGTTTACTCAACACGCCGCTGTGTGCCCGCCAACCCGCCAGTTCGGCTTGAGGATACCGGGCCTAGGTTCACATATAAAATGTAGATTATCCAGCAAGTGTCACAACTTGTACAGCGAGAGGCGTAGTTTTAAAACAGACGATGTCTCCTGAGCTCACACAGGTGAACAATTAATCCGAACTACCATCAGCTTCAAACTTCCCATTCCATGTCCCTGGTGGTAATTATCTTTAATGAATGAGTTTTGACTGTGAACTCTGACATTCTCATTTATGTTAGCTATCCATGGTATGGATTTGTTGCCACAGACTGATTAGCAGCACACAGCACGACCCCCCGGAGTGGCGGGACCAGGTAACAGGACAAACTCTGGACAGGTGCGACAACCCAAGGCTGACACATCTGTGACACACTGGAGTTAAACCATTGACCAGCCTCATGTCTAGGAGAAAGCAGGCCAGACCTCGATCTTGTAAACGTGAGTAGGAAGCATGTAGATATAACTTAATATGTTTGTTTGTACGCAAGTCAACAGCCATTCCCAAATTGTGAATTGAAAAGTAAATGTCATAATATTGATATCAACATTACTAACGACAACAGTTGATAGTTTATAATTTAATGATGTTATGAGTTTGTTGATTTAGATTAAAGTTATAACATAGTGTAGAATACTAAGTCAATATATCATTTATCTAATTGTGATTTATCCATATATGTGTGCATACATGTCTGATATTATATCACATGTTCTTATATAATTATGTAACTAGAAACATCATTAGGATAAAAACATCTGGCATATTGTTCACTTTGCAATTTCACCCTGTGAGGAGAAAATTAGTTCAATTTTGGATTTACATGTTGTCGGTTACTAAATGTTTTTTCAATGAAGAAAAAAAAAATAGGTGAAATATCTTTAATTAGAAACCAACATTAAGTTTGTGGTAGAGTTTACTGTGAGATTTCAACACTATGTAATGATAAAATACAAAAAGTTCACTAAAGCCATTGTGTGGTGTGTCCATCTATAAACAACTGACTGTGGTCACTATGTGTCCAATCTATATAGAACTCATTGTGATGTGTCCAGTCTATAACATAACTCATTGTGGTGGGTGGGTTTGTCTATGATACATCTCATTGAGGTGAGTGTGTTTGTCTATATAGATTTCATTGAGGTGAGTGTGTCAAATCTATATATATCTCAATGAGGTAAGTGTGTTTGTCTATTTAGATCTCATTGAGGTGAATGTGTTTGTCTATGATATATCTCATTATGGTGAGTGTGTTTGTCGATATAGATCTAATTGTGGTGAGTGTGTCAAGTCTATATAGATCTCCTTGAGGTGAGTGTGTTTGTCTATAATAGATCTCCTTGAGGTGAGTGTGTTTGTCTACATAGATCTAATTATGGTGAGTGTATCAAGTCTACATAGATTTCATTGACATGAGTGTGTCAAGTATATATAGATCTCCTTGAGGTGAGTGTGTCAAGTCTATATAGATCTAATTGTGGTGAGTGTGTCAAGTCTATATAGATTTCATTGACATGAGTGTGTCAAGTATATATAGATCTCCTTGAGGTGAGTTTGTCAAGTCTATATATATCTCCTTGGTGAGTGTGTCAAGTCTATATAGGTCTCCTTGGTGAGTGTGTTTGTCTATTTAGATCTCCTTGTGGTGAGTGTGTCAAGTCTATATAGATTTCATTGATGTGAGTGTGTCAAGTATATATAGATCTCCTTGGGGTGGGTGTGTTTGTCTATATAGACCTAATTGTGGTGAGTGTGTTTGTCTATATAGATCTAATTGTGGTGAGTGTGTCAAGTCTATGTAGGTCTCCTTGGTGAGTGTGTCAAGTCTATATAGATCTCCTTGAGGTGAGTGTGTTTGTCTACATAGATCTCCTTGAGATGAGTGTGTTTGTCTATATAGATTTCATTGAGATGAGTGTGTCAAGTCTATATAGATCTCAAGGTGGTGAGTGTGCCCAATCTTTATAGATCTCATTGTGGTGAATGTGTCCAGTTTATTAAGATTTTGTTGTGATGAGTATCCATTGATAAACATCTGACTAAATATCTCGCTGTTGTCAGTGTGTGTCCAGTCTATAAACAATTGAGAGTGGTCAGTATGTGTCTGATCTATATAGATCTCCCTGTGGCCATCAGTGTCCAGTCTATTAACACATCACTGTGGTGATTGTATGTGTTTGTCCTGTCTAAAATAGATCATATTGTGGTCAGTGAGTATCCATTCTATAAACATTTCACTTTGGTCTCTGTGTGTCCAGTGTGTGTCAGTTTGTGTCCAGTAACAGAGATCACATTGAGGTTATATAGATCACATTGAGGTCAGTATGAGTCTATAGACAATTGTTGTGGTCAGTAAGTGTCCAGAAAATAATAAACTGGTGTTGGTCTTTGTGTTTCCAATCAATGAACATCTTGATTATTATAGTCAATGTCCAGTCTTTATTTATCTCACCATGGTCTGTGTGTCAAGTTTGTATAAATTTCATTGTGGTCAGTATGTCTCTAGTCTGTATTAAGGTCACATCTCACTGTGGTCAGTATGTCCAGTTTTTATATAGATCTTATTGTAGTCATTATGTCTCTAGTCTGTATTAAGGTCTCACCTCACTGTGGTCAGTATATCCAGTCTTTATATAGATCTTATTGTGGTCAGTATGTCTCTAGTCTGTATTAAGGTCTCTCTGTGGTCTTTGAATATCTATTCCATATAGATGTCACTGTGGTCAGTGTGTCAAGTCTATATAGATCTCACTGTGGTTAGTTGTGTTCAGTCTATATAAATTATACTATGACCAGATGGATTGATGTAGAGGTAATTTTTAGTTCACCTGGTCCAATGTACTAAAAATTGCTACTAGTCATGAACGACTGAACAGATTTTGACCAGATTTGTTCAGAAGCTTCCTTAGGGGATTGGGAACCAAATTATAAATTAGCTTTTGGCCCCCAGGAGCCTGAGGTATGGGGGTACACAAAGGGAAATTTAGCAAGCTCTTCAAATACCTATTTCTCCTGGAGAAATAATTGTGTTTGGTCCAGATTTGGTTGGAACCATTCTTGGGTAGAGGGGAATCTGTTTTGGAGAATGGTGGGTCTCGGTACTCTGGGGTTAGAGGGGCAGTGACCGGGCAGGGACCAGGAAGGGAAATAGAGCAAATTTTTTAAATCCTACTCCTGATATAGGAATTATTGGATTTTGTGAAAATTTGGTCTGAAGCATTGTTTGGTAAAGGGAAATCAATTTGTATAGACAGTGGGTCTTGGCTCCCTGGGGTGGGAGGGGCGAGGCCTAAAGGGTGAAATAGAAAAAATTCTTTAAAATCCTTCTTCTTCTGTAGAAATATCAAGATTTTTTGTTAATTTGATCTGACACATACGTAGGAAAAGAGGAATCTGTGTCATATAAATGATGGGTCTCATCCCTCTGGGATTGGAGGAGTGGAGCTGAACAGTGGAAGTAGATGAAACAAAGGAAATTTTCTAAAGTCCTTCTATCGAAGGAATGCCTTGATTCTGTCCTGATTTGGTCTGAAGCACACCTAGTTGGAAGGAACCTAATTTTGTATGAACCAGGAGTCTGACATCAGACATCCTTCTTCTGTACAAGGATATTGTCCAAGTTTAGTCTGTAGCATTGTAAAGAATGGCGACTTCTGTGCATGCTTGACCACTATACAGCCTGAACCTGGCAAGGAAATTATTTATCAAATATACTTGAAATTCTTTGTTATATGAGCAATGCAGGTCCCTTCATCCTCTTGTTAATCATTTAAAGCTGTAAAAATGGTAACATTTATGTAATAAATTCAATTTCTAGTTTTAAAGATTAATACAACTGCTTTTAACAATCTTTTAAAATAAACCATATTTTCAATAAGAGAAACACATGTTCACACCTCAAATTAATTTTGGAGTAAACATCTGAAATTTATTATAATCAATATTTAATCATTTCCATGCATGCAGTTATTGGTAATGAAATTAAACTGATTCCCTGCATTATTATCTGAATCACTCTGATACCCTAATTGTCATGCAATTGTTTTATAGTGAACTAGGTCTAATTATGTATGAGCAAGTGGTAATAATTAGCAGAAACACATATTTGACCTAATAAGTCTTGATACCTAAATTTACTTCCTTTTCAAATTGTCTCCAAGTCTGAAGCAAGAGGTCAACACAATACATAATAATTACCCTTCGTTATAGCAGTTGTATTTAATGCCCTGCAGGTAGCTAGCTTCAGAAGGGTACCTGCTGTCCCAATTGCATGATCAAGGGAGGCAACTAAACTTGGGGTATTTTTTTTCTCTTTGTTTTTTTGGGTTTTTTTTTATATCCCTCTCATAACTTAGTTAAATAGTATTTAAGGGACATTATTGTTCTGCCCCAAGCTATGACCTATACCAGTCATTAATACATGTATGATACTTCATGCTGGCAGGGTACTTGGCATCCCATGGGGTGCACAAGAACTGATTTGATTATTGATAGTATAATGTGGCCTTGTGTGGTTCTTGCTGCTATGTCTTGATTATGATATTTCGGTGTGATGGCACTATAACAATGTTCATCAGTGGCCCCATCATTAATGGACAGCTTTTCAAATGGACCTGGCTGTTAATACCCCATAACACATCAAACCTCAAGAATATGAAATGTTGATTTACCTTTTTAGAATGAAGTCTTGTGTGTATTGTATCTGGACTTGGTGAAACAGTCATCAAATTTATTCATTATTTAATTCATACTTAGTACACTTGAAAAATCTTGTTATTGTAATTGTTTGTCAAGGTCAAGAGGTTGAAATGTCATGCTTGACCACTCTTAATGTTAAAAAGTTATACAAGAAACATTTGTATGTGGCATATTTCTAAAACTTCTGATGTCTAGAATTGTCTGCCAGGTACCTTTAAGGGAATTTAATTGATACATGTAGATGTTAATTAATAACAGGATGTCCACAATGTCAAAGTTTTAGTTTTATTGATGGTATCACCTGTAATAATTGAAAATCAAAGTTTTGATGAACTGAATGTTATAGGAAAAGGTTGAACTTTAACATTAAATGGTGGTTGCAACAAATACACATATTTCATAAACCATGGGGATATTTCATGAAACATTCGAAATAAAATTGATATTTTATGAACAATAATATTTCTGAATAATAGTGCAGTGAACTTTTAAGTTCAGTTTTAAAAACGTTTTTTGAAAATATGTTACAATAAATTTTAATTTTGGAGGAATTTAATGGTTGTGACGAGCTTCCTTAGTGTTTGTATGTGGATGCTTGGGTGATTGAGATTGAGAAAGGAACACCCTTAACTTTTCTCTGAGGAAGATGGAGGTGATCACAATATCAATTTGCCTTGTGTTCTGCTCATCTGTGACATAAATGTATGTGTCATCAGGCAACTTTATGTGGGCCATTTCTCCG